GAAAACAAAAATCCTCACAACTGGACCAATAAGCAACATCATGATAAATGGAGAAAAGACTGAAGTTGTCAAGGATTTCATTTTACTTGGATTCACAATCAAAGCCCATGGAAGCAGCAGTCAAGAAATCAAAGGACATATTGCATTGGACAAATCTGCTGCAAAAGATCTCTTTAAAGTGTTAAAAAGCAAAGATGTCACTTTGAGGATTAAGGTGCGCCTGACCCAAGCCATGGTATTTTCAATCGCATCAATATGCATTTGAAAGCCGACAATGAACAAGGAAGGCCAAAGAATCGATGCCTTTGAATTATCGTGTTGGCGTAACAATACTGAATATACACCATGGACTGCCAGAAGAACGAACAAATCTGTCTTGGAAGAAATACAGCTCCCTGGAAGTGAGGATGGCGAGACTTCGTCTCACATACTTTGGACATGTTATCAGGAGGGACCAGTCCCCAGAGAAGGACAGTGAAAAAGAGAGTAGAGAGTCAGTGAAAAGGAAGAACCTCAATGAGACTGATTGATGTGATGACTGTGACAATGGGTTCAAACACAGCAATGACTGTTCAGGATGGTGCAGGACCAGGCAGTGTTTTGTTCTGTTGTACACAGGGTCACTATGAGTCAGAAACAACTCGACGGCACCTAACAAAAGCATGCTCTATTCTTGTTCAAATGTATTTACATTTTTTAATTATGAAATATTTCAAACATACAAAAATTTATAGAAATCCACACCCAAGACTTAACAGATATTAACATTTTATGTAGTTTCTTTAAAGCACTCTTTATTTTTTCAAAAGATAAAACATTACAAATAGAGCTAAACCCTACCCTAATCCTATTACCATCCATTCTCCTTCCTTCACTCCCTAAAAATATTCAGTCTTGAACTTAGTGCATATTGTTCTTGTGCCTGTTTCTGTACTTTTACTACATACATATGTATCCAATAAACAGTATACAGTAAGGTTTTGTTTTAAAACTTTATGTAAATTGTATGTAAATACTAACATACTATATGTAGCCCTTTGCTACTTTTTTACTAAACATGTTTTTAAATGTGTTGGTGTTCACACACTAGATGTAGTTACATGCTAATATGTTCATTCATTTTGAATGCTGAATACTATTCCATTGATGTATGAATAAACCAAAACCAAACCCAAACACACTGACATCCAGTCGGTCTCATGGCTACCCTATGTGTTACAGAGTAGAACTGCTCCATAGGGTTTTCTTGGCTTGTAATCTTTATGGAAGCAGATCACCAGGCCTTTCCTCCACAGTGCTGCTGTGTGGGTTTGAACCACCAACCTTTAGGTTAGTCATCAAGTGCAAACCACTTGTTTTACACAGGAACCTTGATGTATGAATCAACCAGTTTATCTTTCCCCTAATACATTTCTAATTTTCTTCTTCAAATCACTCCTATTGAACATTTTTGAACAGGTATCTTTATAAATACATGCCAGATCTCTGTAGGGCAGGTATCCAGAAGTGAAGATGCAAGATTACACTGTAAGTAAATATTCAATTTTCCTAGGTATTGCCATATTGCTTTCCTGAGTTAGCATACCAATTTATTCTCAAGAGTTCCTGTTTTTCCACACCCTTGGCAACACTTGGTGTTATCAGATGTCTAAAGGTTAGCCAATCTGATATGCATTATCTGGCATCTCACTGTGGGTTAAATTTGCATTTCCCTGATTCTAGGGAAGTAGAGCATATTTTCATATGCTTACTGGCTTTGGGTGTCCTCTGGGAAATTCCTGTTCATATCTTTTGCCTGGTTTTCTAACTGTTTGATTAATCTTTTCCTTATTAAATTTGTAGCATTATAATTTTTTTCATTCTATTATACATAGGGCCACTATGAGTCGGAACCAACTCAGTGGCACCTAACAACAACTGCAACAATGGCTAATAACATTGAGCATCTTTTCATGAGCCTTTTGGTGAAATGTCTATTCAAGTCCTTTGCTCGTTTTTTATTGTTTTCATTGTTAAATTGTAGTTCTTAATATATTCTGGATATTAAACCCTTACCAGATCCATAGTTCCCAAAATTTTTCTCCCAGTCTTTAGACTGTCTCTTAATTTTGCTGATAAAATTCTTTGATGCACAGAAGTTTTGAATTTTGATGAAGTCCCATTTATATATTTTGTCTTTTGCTGCTCGTGCTTTTGGTGTCATATCTAAGAATCCACTGTTAAAAACTAGGTCCTAAAGCATTACCCTTACGTCTTCTTCTAAGAGCTTTATGGGTTTAGTTCTCTCATTTAGGTCCTTGATCCATTTTGAGTTAATTTTCATACATGGTATGAGGTGTGGTTCCAGCTTCATTCTTTTGCATGAGAAGGCAAGGAAACATATTTACCCCTTGTGGGGTAAAAGACCTAATTTACCCAAAGTTAGGTGGCCTTTGTCCTTGGATCTGGGGAAATAACCCTTGGAGTAATTGGGATGCCTTGGTCTGGGACCTTCATGACACACCCGAGGATTTGTGCTGGGGAGTGGGGTCTGGCCAGAGCAGAAAAGACTCACCTGGGAAGCCGATATCAACCAGCCTCAGGAGGCATGATTTAGCCTATCATGCAGGACTGGCCAATAAAAGCCTTAAATACTAAGGCTCAGAGAGCTTCCTGGTTGGTGAAGGGAGGATGACATGCCCTCTTTGAGACATGGTAGCTCAGCACTGGGAACCTTCCCAGACCTTGCACGTGCATCTCTTCTTTATGTGGATCCTGATTTATACTGTAAATCCTTTTACTGTAAAATCCTTTTACTGTAATAAAACCAGTAGTCCTAAGTATAACGTCTTCTGTGAGTTGTTCCAGTGAATTAACAAACCCAAGAACAGTGTCATCTTAACTTTTAAGGTCTGACCTAGCCCCAAGTAGCTAGGGACTGAGAGAGAGGGAGAAAGTGCTGTGTGGGCAGCTGGTGTTAGAAATGATAGAGAAGTGGGGGCACAAGGATATGATTGATCTTTGCATTCTGGGAATCGGTTTTATGCTGATTCTCATCCACAAAGCTATCATTATACCCCTAGAGCCTCCAGCAAGGAACACAGCCCAGCTGACACCTTGATTTTAGCCCAGTGAGGCTTGCTGGACTTCTAAACTATATAATTGTAAGATGATAAATTCGTGTTGTTTTAAGGCACTAGTTTTTGGCAATTTGTTACAGCAACAGTAGGAAACGAATCCAGCAATGTATTCCAAAGATGCTTAGATTCAGGGTGAGAAGTCCCATTTTTGCCTAAGTTAGATTCTTTAAAAATAGAGTTTTTAAAAAGCTTTTGCATTGTTGGAGGAGATGAGAAGGGATATTTAATGTGTTGGCACAGATGAGTAATATCAGTTCTTCACTTACCATTTGACAGGAAATCGTTGTACAATCCCTTGTTCCACTGTCAGAACCCAGTGGAGAGAAGAGACGCATGGCACCCTGTACCTCTTAATTAAGATTCTATTTTTTAAAAATTTTACTCATTTGTTTGCTCTGAAATAAATATTCACAAGACACTAGGTGAACTGGTTTTATCAGTAACAACAGTGATTTAGTAGTATAAAGCAGATTTATGCTTTTGAATCTTAAAGCAAGATATAATACGTTACTCAATAGAGTCGCTATTAGCATTTTTGGCAGGTCAATTCTTCACTGTACAGAACCATCCCACAAACTACTAGACATTAAGCATCCTGGCCCCTGTACACTAAAGCCAGTAGTCCCCACCACCAGAACCCCATGCCCCTATGACAACCAAACACATCTCACACACATTTCTAAATGCCCTCTTGAGGGTGTACCACCCTTGGTCAAGAACTACTATACAGTATTAATTAACAATGAATCTAATCTACCTAGGGCAGCTTACCTGCCCTGTTCCAACAAAACTCACTTAATGCTCTTATATACTATTCCAGCAGAACCACGCATATTTAAGGGTATATAGTTTACAAAGAAATATAATCAGATGATTGGTAAAAAGACTAGACAAAGGAAATAAGAAGCTGGTTTGTTCACTGAGCTGGGAAAGTATAAAGAGCTGTTGACCTGCCTATCTGACAAACTAGAAGATATACATCTATAAATCTGTCATTTAAATTCCCCTTCCAAAGATGACACTCACACCAAAACAATAATCAGAGCCCTAATAAGTACCATAAGAGTTCCAGACTACTCCCATTATTTTCTGGAACTGTGATTGGGCCTCGGCTACCCCAGTATCTGCAAAGAATCTTGCATTTTATTTCTCACTATACCAAGGATTAAGGAAGTACAGAGTAGGGCATTTCTTACTGCCTCAAATTGAAAAAAAAAAAAAAAAAAAGCATTTTATTTTTTAAAATAAAATCAGTGCTTTAGATTTACAACTAGTGGTCATTATCTTGCTGAGAAACAAGTTTATTTATAAAACCAGCTGTGAAGGGTCTCACCACATGCCATGATTCAGTGGCACAAAATCAACCTGAAAAGCTAAGAATATAGAAGGCGCAGATTTTACCAATCTCTAAGAAAAAATTAAAATAGTTCTGAACACAACAAAAATGAACCAAGGAACGGTAACACAGATTGTTTCCTCTGTTGGCTTATTTTGAGCTGGCATTGCTCAGCCTGATAGCATCTCAACTTGGATTCCTCTGCTCCCTCAAAAAGATTCCCTCTAAACTTCTTTCCATCAAAGGTGCCAAGTACACCTTGCTGAAAAGAAAGGAATAAAAAAGTATTTAGCATTACCACAAGAAGAAAGAAAAAGAGTAGGTGGAAAACATGCCAATGAGAGGAACTTACTGGGCAGAAGTAGGTATTCTCCACAATGTGATGGGCCACCATGCTGTTCTCAGCAGAAAGAGACATGATAAAAAGCAAAGCATCCCTGGCCTGCTGGCCTACTGTCCCCTCCCGGTGAATGAAGGGAATTAGAAGGGAGAAGATGAGGAAGTTGGCAGCCCCTTGGTCCTCACTAGTGTGGAAGAAGAGTTCCAGAATGGATGGATCTTTGGCAAGGATAGAACAGAGCTGACTGAGTAGGACCACCAGCTTCCCTTCCACAGTGGGGGTGGTTGTTCCTGAACAAGAGCTCAGCAACATCATAAGGGGCTTCAGAATGGGCTTGTGGTGCAGAAGAGGCTGGTGCGACTGGGTGACCAACATCTCATATATCTTCAGCTGTTCAATTTTAGTCTCATCAGTAAATTCCCGTCTCAAGCTCCAAAGGAAGAGTTTCTCCATGATATTCTCAGAGACCACAAATTCCAGAATTGGTCCCATTGCAGCATCCTTGGCTTGCTCTTCAATCAGCAAGAAGAGCATGTGTTCTACATAGTTCTGTACAGCACTGGCCTCATCTGGAGGGATGGATCCATATTTTGCCTGAGTATTCTTCAAGGGGTCATGCTTCTCTAAGATCTTCACAACCTGTAACCAAATCACACATCTGTCATCCATCTGATGTTTATCATAATTACAAAAACACACCACCACTGATTTTACCAAATTTTCACCAAAAATGCAGGAGCCATGGCCCACAAAATATACGTGAACAACATGTCTCTCTCTCTCTCATGGGAATAAAATGAAGGGGTTAAACTACAGAAATATGTTTGAAGTCCATTTGTAATTGTTACAAATTTTCGCAACCTAAATATCCAAGAAAGTAGCATGGTTACATAAATTAACCCCTATATATTCTTTGAACTATTATAATGAAGACTATTTAGCAACATGAAAAATTATAAATGATATATTAGATGAAAAAAGTAAATTACTTATAGATATACAGATCCATAATTATTAACTGTGAAAAATACATGTGAAAAAGACTAAAAAGAAATATGCAAAAGTAATAGTTTTTGTGTTTGAAGGGACAACAATTTCTTAATTTTTTTCTAAACTTTCAACAATATTGCTTTTTAATTTTAAAATACATTGAATAAATAAAAGGAAACCTGGATACCCCTGTGTTCTCCCACAAACAGACCTTGAGACTTGGAGATTTCAGCAGGGAAACACAGCTACTCATATGCCCTTGACAGAACAATATCCCTGCCTCCTGTATTTGGATGGACATCGTCTTCTACCAAGCATGCAGCATTGAGAAGGATGAAAGGATACTAATGAACAAAGACACATACCTAGCACAATCAACCCTAACGTACACCATATATTGAAACCGATAAAAAGAAGGGTTTGAACTCTGGCTTTTTTCTTCTTTTTTTTTAAGCCAGAAAAAATCCTGAGAAAACCACTTACAAAATAAATCCCTAAACTGGTCATGCCATAGTTCTGATCTGTTCCTCTCCTTACCACTGCTGGCATTTGAATGCTTCCTACCTCTCTCCGACCACTGATACTTACATCTACTTTGAGACCTGGAAATTGAAAAACAATTTTCTATCTCAACTTCCATTTAACTTTGTTACTTGGAATGTTTACCATAATACCCATTCAATGTACTCCCTTTAAAACATATAAATATGACAATTTTTAAACAGCCAAACATTTTATCAGCAACTTTATCTTGGTTCCTTTCTGCTTTCCTGAACTGCACGCTACATGGGATACGTTTGTTTTTTGCACTACCCTTCCTAACCCAGTTCTGTGACGTGCTGTTACATGTTCTATATTTAGGTTATACAATTTTTGCAAGTCACTGGGGAAGCTGGCAAATGTACAATGCCATGTCAGCATGCATGAGCAATGAGGAAAATTTATTTCTCAGGGAAAGGTCTAAGGTTCTCCCCTGTCAAAAGCAGGGCAAAGACACTGTTATAAACCAGGCAGGTACATCTTTACAAAATGAACATATTTGCACACAATCTGTAATTTCTATTGATTTCCATTATAAAATTGACAATGCAGTCACAGAGGGGAAAAATCACCCCAACACCCTTGAGTTGGCATTTTTAATGAGGAAGGCCTTTCGTTAGCAGCCACCCAGGAGGTACAAGGCCCAGTGGCTGCCACTGGATACTCTCTTGTCCTGTGCTGCATGCCCGACTCCAGAATGCTCCAGCCCCCACACCCTGCAAGAAGCCCTCACAATTCCTCACAGACCTGATGATTTCACTGGCAGAAACTCTGGGACCTGGCTCTCCTTTCCCTTTGCTCTGGGCCTTGACAATATCTCAGAGACTGGGATCAGAGTACCACACTTGCCCAAAAGGGCTCCCACCTCAACACAGCATGTTCTCCGATCCAAAAAGGCCCTGACTTCCAGGCTCGACATTCTGAAGAACAAATTAGCTACAGGCTTTATCAGCTCTATAATTTCAAAGTCCACACATTGAGTTTACTTATGAGAGATATCTTTACAGCCAGGCCTCAGGGTAAAAATGTAATTATACTTCTCATGCGTACTTAGGCTGTCTAAACTACCCAAAACTGGGATTGCACCTTACACATTGATAGGGCACAGCAAATTAGCTCAATCTTTCTGGGAAGCAATCTGGCAATGTGTAACAGAGGCTATAAAATTGTTTCTATCTTTGACTTACTAATCCCACTTTGGGGAAAATGTTGCAAGGAAACAACCCAAAAATAATTTGTTAAAAAATGTTCAGACCAACCATATCTTCAAATAATGAAAAATAAAAATACTACTGACCCAAATAGTCAAGAATTAGGGAATTATAATAAAAATGTTACCTCATCATACAATAAAGCTATTAAACACTAAGTGAATCATATCATTAAATGTAAATGTATACATGAAATAATTTAAGTTAAAAAAACTGACAAATGGATACATTATTAGAAATGAGTTTGGAGAGATATAAATGATATTTTAAGGTTAATTACTATTTCTTTCATGTAAATTGATGTCATTTCATAATATAAATGAATAAAAATGAAAGAAAACATTTAATTTTGTGCTGTTGCCTTAAAAAAAAAAAAACCACTGCTTTAAGAAGAATTGATACTGGAAATTTGCTGATTCTCTGAAATTCCTAAGCAATATATATTTATACATTTGCAGTTATATTTTTAAATACTAGGTATTCACATGCATGTATATGTATGTACATATTTACTACATAGCTAATGTATATATGTAATATACAGTAAAACTATTTACATGATCACAAATTTTATTTCCTCATGAATTAACCTTCATTTATATTATTAATCTCAATGCATTCCTTTGTAAACAGACCTACTTTTTTTTGCTATGAAAAACCTCAAAAAATGAACTGAGATTTTATATAGAACACAAACTGTTTAGCAACTTTTTTAACTGAAGTATCTTTATCCTACTTACAGTAGCTCCTTTATGCTACTATATACATGAAGACAGAGCTGTAATAACCCACAGAGATATAAGGTTTGCTGATCATCTGGAACGGAGCAGCCACATTAAGAGCCCTTTACTCATTCCTGCCCTGGCCCAGTGGTTTTACTGCCTGGAAGCTGGGTGTGTTACAACCCATGCCTGTGAGTCATGGAACACACAGTGATCAGCCAAGTGCTGATTATCCCTGTGTTGCTACATGTCCTCAGCTCTCTCATTAGGTGTCAGAATCCTCCCAGACCACCACCCTTTCCCTTCCAGGCAGACACACCCATGACCTGCTTTTAAAAGAGGGCTCTGGGTGCCCATGTCCTGGACCTGGCTCCTACTCTGCAAGGGACAGCCTAAGATACTTCTTGTCTAGAGCACAGCCTGCAGGGAAATGCCGAAGAACTTCTGTTGTGATGTCCCAAGTTTGTCGTCCACACGGTGTCACAGTTCTTTCAGTTTCTATAGATGGGTTCCTGGCATGACCTGGACTTTTTCTTTTTCTTTTTTTCCCTTCTGTGCCCTCTTCTCACATTCCTCCTACCAAACTCCAGTATTTCTGCATCCCCGATTTCTTCTTGCTGCCTAGCTTCACCCACTTATTAGCTCTTACCTGCCAGTCTTGCAGATGCCATGATTCCATGCTGTTCACTGTGGCCTCCCCAGGCCTGGCCCATTCTTGTGATTACTGGCTATCTTACACTCTCAATTTTGTCTCAGCTTTTCTAACCCAGCTTCTCCTCAGCTACCCACTGTCAGTCTCAGGAACTCAGTTTGGGGATAAAAACACAATTAATGATGCTGGAGGGATCCTAGTAGGGAAAAGAGTGCAAGCAAGCAAAATATGCTTTGCAAATAGGTCCTTTACAAGACAAGTTCACTCTGTCAAGCTGAAAATACCATTTAATGAACTAATCAATCCCTGAAGAAGCCCATGATCATTAATTAAGTAAACCCCGTTACAATCAGAAATAGCAACTTAAATGTTTCACTGATCATAGCTAGGCATTTGTTGATCTACAGACTTTAACAAATACAGGCTGGTCATAGATGTATGAACCATAATCCTGGCTCACATATAGATCCACATGTAAATCATCACAATTCTTAAAAGAAACAAACACACAAATGTTGTATGGACAATGGCGTTCAAATTATCATCAGATCAATATAGCTAAATTTTTAACCTAACTTCAGTCATCTTACCTATAAATATCAGGATTATTGGTGTTAAATGAGATGAAAAAATAGCACATTTCTTTCATTAAAGAATATCAAGATATTCCTAGCCTCAGTCCAAATGATGGCTCCTGTCAGTCGGTGATAATGGGCCTGAATTTCAAATATTCACAAATCCTAAATTGGAAACTCAAATGCTTTCAGAATGAAAGATCTACATAAGTCACATAGCCACACATCAAGTTAACAAATAATTACCCTTCATGATAAACACAAGTGTTTAGCTTCAATTCTATCTTAACTTCACTATATATGTCTTACATACATGCATGTGGCAATAGGTACTTATACACTTTGGTCAAGCCTAGTTACTTCACGAAAATCACAGGAGTGCATTCCATAATTCCAAATCCTTGGAAAGTTAATTTAAAAGGGCATCACGGGAAAAACCAAGTAACTAAGCAACATTTTCCATCATACAGGCCCTCTAAAATCTGGATTTCATTTTTTTTTAAAGAAGAGAAAGATTTTGTTGTCTTAAGTCAAATTCCACTTAATATACCCAATAACTACAACAAAAGTAAGTTTCCATTCAGTCCTTTTTCATTACTTAACAGCTATGTCTTTCAACCCCGGTACTCCTTGTACACCTATTGCCATGGGAGACTTTTCTTTTTATATTAAGATAATAACCTTACAACACAGGAGCACTTACAGCAGTTGTTTAATGTAAGTTCCAGTACTGACTGCCAGAGATTTGTCTCAATCTGGGATAAAACAGGATAAAGCAGGAACTATGTCTATAAGCTACACTTCCTTGAGACCAAAGGTAGTCTGATAATTACTGCAATACAGATACATGTTAGTAGCATCAGACAAAATAACATAATAAATCCCTTAAGCTTAGGTATAATATAAAACAAAATTTTAGGAATATATAGAAAGGACTGAAGAATAATGA